AWTTTTCAATAGGTGAATTCTTTGTTTGATTCGTTGGTCAAGAAACAGCCTTCTACTATACAATGTGACAATGAAAACCCACATCTTGATAAAATACTCAAGGTTGATCCCAATGATACCGTGCTCACCCCATATTTAAGAATACCAAAGAAAAATGAAAGACCACCTGATGTACTTTTGGCCAGCGGTTATACTAGTAAGTGTCATGAGCGTACTTTTTTATCCAATGTTTCATTTGATTCATCAAATSATTTGAATCACTTTCCATTTGTTTATTTTTTCGTTCATTTACTTACGCGTCCGTCCATCTGTCCATCAAACTGAGAATGAAGTCCTGTTACTATGACATCAATCCATCCATTCATTTATCCGTCCCTTTCATTAATAAGCAATGTGCATCGACGCCATTTTGTACAGCAAAGCATGATGGTAGTTGTAGTCCTCGTACTTTTTATGTCCGCTAAAACAGTCCTCGTAAGCAGTTTATGCTTTTTCTCAGTGAAAATAGAAATATTTTTGCCGTTTCTACAAAGAAAATGTAAAAACGGCTTTTAAGGAGATATTTTAGGTGCAATGAAAAGTGCGAGTACTAAAACTACCATGATACTTTGCTGCAGAAAATGGCGTCCCTGCATATTGCCAATTCAGAGCATTTGGTTGCACGAGGTCACTATTCAACCATTACTCTACATGCAAATTTTGAAGTAAATGCAACATATATCAAAACTAGTGTCGTTAAGATTTGTCCGTTCTATTTCTTTAGTGCCAGTGATGGGACTTGGCACATATGCCTTGAAAGACACCCTTTCSTCAGTCAAGACAGCGCTAGAGGTTGGATACAGGTAACGAACACACTATACATGCATAGGTTTCATAACCTTCTCTCTCCGGGGGGGAGGAGTTCTTCTATGATCACTACATGACCATTTCAATTTTGAACCATTCTCTGTTGACTCACGCAACAGTCAGGTGAAAACACGTACAATACCAGGAAAATTATCATTTCAACTATGTCAAATCCCGTATATTATGCTAAATCTCCGACTGCAATGTGTTAATTCCCTGGCCCTACCCGGGGATTGGGGGCCGGGGTTTCAATTGATTTGCGGGTTTGTATCGGATACATTTACACCGTCGTGTAGGCTTCGTATACGCTACATGTATAGAGGATGGCATTCTTGTATCCGCATAAAAAAGATTCGTGAAAGAAAAATCTCCAGACTCGTGTGGACGGGGCTTAAGACACAAACGATGTCTGAATGATTATTTTCAAGCTTGAAAAGATACCTAAATATATGTGTACACTGATCCCATAGACTCATCGATACAGCCCAGGGGTACCCCGGCTCAGAAGAACAAATTGGACAAGCCATCAAGGAAAGCAAGTTACCGCGCGATGAAATTTTCATCATGACGAAACTCCATCCAAAATATTTAGGATATGAAAGYACTWTAGARGCTGTCGAGATGTCTTTGAAGGCTTTGCAGACTGATTATATTGACTTGTTTCTTATACATGGAAAAAGCTGTGATGAYTTCTTGCTAACATGCGAAAAAGGTAATTCTTATTGAAAATATGTCTGCTGAACTTAGGGGACCTATCATAGGTTAGCGGATTGACGATTTTTGTTGATTTTAGAGGTATTTCGTATTTATCGTACTTTTGTTTCAAGACAAAAATACGAAATAAAAAACAACTATTAAAGAAGAGAAAACCTCTGGAACCAGGGTACACTATTGAGGGCGAAAGGAAAACCATCTCACGTAAAGGAAAACGTTTTTCCTGTCATGGAATAGAAATAGCTAAAAGCTAGAAATCATACTACTAAGAACAAACGGATTTTATGATTAAATCACTTCTTTGAATAGGAGAACCAAAGGGCGACTGGAAAGATAGTTGGAAAGCAATGGAAGAACTTCACAAAAAAGGCAAAATTAGGAGTCTGGGCGTTAGCAATTTTTACATTGATGACCTTCAAGAATTACTGGAAGTTGCTACGATACCTGTGTCCGCTGTCCAGAATTGGTTTGATCCGTTCCATCAGGACAGAAAGACAAGAGAATATTGCGGCAATCATACCATTCGATATATAGGCTATTCAACATTAGGTGAGCTCTGCTCTGCTCTGCTCTGCTCTGCTCTGCTCTGTGCTACATTGCGCTGCATTGCGCTGTGCTACATTGCGCTGCATTCCGCTGTGCTCAAGCCCTCTCCACGCTGAAGTGTTGCTTTTGGAGAAGTCTAACTATTATCCTTATTTCCAGGATCGCAGTGGGTTTATAGCTACGGTCTTAATAAAAACCCTGTACTCAAGTCAAGTATTATCAGCGAAGTTAGCTTCCACTACGAGTATGTTCCATCACAGGTAGATATATTTTATGTAGCTACAATTACTTGTTCTTCGTTTGTCTTTCAATCGATCTATCTTTCCGTTCGCTCTAAGCGACCGCTTCTTATACTCGAATTTTTTAAGCTATAGGGGGTTATTTTWAGATTAAAATGCTTGCGAGACATGACAATTTTTATTCGCTAAAGCTCTCTCGATAACACTTATTTTTCGAAAAGAGTTTTACTTGAAAAATCCCTCGTGAAGAAATCATGAAGTATTGAAGAACGGCATCTCGAAAGGTCGTCTCCTGAACTTATAAGATTCATCCTGATCTCTCCTCTGCGCTCCTTCGCCATTCCGTCCCTTTTTACCATTCCACTTTTACCTATTTATGCTCTATGTTTAGATTGTTCTACGTTGGGCAATTCACTTGAATGTAACTGTAATCCCACGATCCAACAATCCACGAAATAT